TTGAGGATGCCTTTGCGGCGGGCAGGGGGGCCCTGGGGTCCCTGCTCCGGGGAGGGGGTGTCAGCAAACACGCTCCCATCAAGGTCCAAGCTACCTGCATCCAGGACATCCCCGGATTCGCAGCACTCCAGGGACGAGTAATACCCCGACTCCCTCGTCGAGGGCTTTTTCAGTATTCCCTTCTTGGGCACAGCCATGGGCACCGCTCCATCATCCCTGCTGCAAGCCAGTATTCTGGAGGACAGGATCCGGGTGAGACCCGCAGCGGTCACCTCGCCATCCTCACCCCTCGCCTCTCCCATGGGTGCTGCTGGCGGGGGACCGGGACCAAGCACCTTCTGCTCACAGGAGTTTCTCTTCTTCAGGATGCCCTTGGGCCGCTTGAGGATGGACTTGGAGGGGTTCTCCGGGGCCAGGGCCACCTCCTGCAGCACGTGGGAGACGTCGTTCTCCTTCTTGGACTTCTTGAGGGAGCGCTGCCGCTCCAGGGCCACACCAGGGATGTGCTGCTTCAAGAAGCATCGCACCTTGGAGCCATTCTCCAGGAGGGGCCGGGAGGAGCGGCGAAGCCACTCTGTCACTGTGGCCAGGGGCGACTCGCTCTCCCGCAGCAGCTCTTGCTCCCCAAGGGGCACTTTGTAGCCCCAGTTCACCCACCAGTGCGTGGCAATGTCCTCGATGGTGGCACGGCGCTCTGGGTTCACCATCAGCATCCACCGGATTAGCCCACAGGCATCTGAGGAAGAGGAAGGTCAGGTACCGAAGGGAATACAGGGAGGGGGGATGCACAGGGTGGCGGGGGTCTGCCTACCTGACAGCTTCGTGGGCTCCCGGTAGTCCCCGCTTGTGATCTGCTTGACCAGAGTCTTGTAGTCGTGGCCATCAAACGGCATCGTGCCGTGGACCAGGATGTAAAGAAGAACGCCCAGGGACCAGCTGTCCACCTGCCAGAGGGAGAGATTGGCCTGGAGGGGGGCAAGGGGACCGTGCTGCCCCGGCCACCACCCCGGCTGGGCAGGACCCCCCCGCCAGACCCTCGGCAGCAGCTCCTGGGGAGGACAGAGCGCGGGGTAGGACCATCCACCTCCATCCCACCACGTCCACCCCGCTGCAGCTGCCGCTCAACTGGGAAAACACCCAGCGCCTTCCCACGCCCAAGCAGAGGCAGCAAGAGCCGCCAGCACGGTGCGAGGCACAGCCTACCTCCGGGCCCTTGTACGGCCTCCCGTTGATGATCTCGGGGGATGCGTAGAGAGGGCTACCGCAGTAAGTCTGCAGGAGCTTGTCCTGCTGGTAAACATTGGACAGGCCAAAGTCTGCAATCTAGAGAGACAATTACAGCCGTTATCAAGCAGCAAAGTTCCCTTTCTAGGTGGAGCAGCATTGCCAACCAAAGCTCCCGAGCTGCGGGCTTGGCCAAAACCAGGGCTGCCCTTGGCACCCTACTCCCAGGTGCCCTCAGTCTCCTCGGGGAGCAGCAGCGTCCCAGCTTTCCACCCAGAAAGCGCGTCCCGGCCCCCCGGCTCTGCCCCTCCAGCCCCATCGCCGGCACGCCGGGAGCAGAGGCAGCTGCCAACGCGTGGTTAGCTGGAGAGCTGCCGGGCTCTCCTCCAGCTCCTTCGCAGCCGCACGAGGCTGCTTCAGCCCCTGTCTGCTCCACGTAGCACACAGGCAGTCATTATCCTTGTCAGCCCGTCACTTCTCGGGGAGCAGAAGGCACAGTCCCTGCTCGCGAGCTCCCAGTTGCTAAATTACCCCTTACAGAGATAAAGCCCTGCAGCCTGTTTATCACCCGGCTGCGGCCGTGCCCTTCCTCCCTGGGTGGCTCAGCACCCCGGGCCAAGGCAAAAAGCATCGCCCAGGGCCAGCAGAGCTGGGAGCTGCCCCACACCTCCCTCCGCCAGCCTGGCCAGCACGTACAGGGACCGGGACTTTCGCTGGAGGAGCCCTTTCTTATCCGTTCGGTCACGCTTTAACCTCAGCGTGCAGACTTTGCCCTCCTCAGCAGCGTCACGGCTCTAACAGGCAGCAGGGAGCTCTGCCTCCGCAGCCTCTCCCGGCACAGATCGCAGGGGCAGGTACAGCCGCCCCCCGGCTCCCCATCCCCTGGGCAAACGGCGATGCCACCGGTCCCAGAGCCGACAGACACTTCCCAGAGCTGCAGAGAACCATGTGCCGTGGGGGGACCGGGGGGCTGTGGCCACCACCAGTCCACCCATGCTGGGCAGCACCCCTTGGAACCCCCCTTTTGCTGGGTGACACCCAAAGCGCGGCCAGGCTCTGCCAGCCTCTCACCTTGATGTTCCCATTCGCATCGAGAAGGATGTTCTCCAGCTTCAGGTCCCTGTGAACGATCCCGTTCTGCGTGGGGGAAGGGAGAGCCGGGTTTAGTTTGAGGAAGCGAAAGGAAGGCAGCACGGGGAGGTCACTGCCACTCACCGGCACGCAAACAGGACACGGCGATGGCAATCACGAGGAGCAGTAATAACCCTGGGTGCACGGATAGGATGGGCTGTAAGCCACGTCCTGCCATGGGTGCTGCCAGCTCCCCGTGCTGCTCAGGAGCACGAGCAGGGTGGCACCCAGTGCCAGGCTGGGCTCCCGCACCCACGAGAGGCTGGTGCCAGCTCCCGACAGCACACGGTGGGCACAGCTCCACCCTTTACTGGGACCTGCTGCTGCCCAGCTGGGCAAGACCACGATTTGCTTTGGGTTCGGGAGATGCCCCGAATCCCCCCCTTCCTGCCAAAGGCACAGGGGACCGAGGCGTGACCAGGCATGGTTGTAGAGCACCCTCCGGGGAGACCCACAGCCTCGAGGGTCCCTCCAGGGCAGGCACAGCTCATCCCACAGCCCCAGCCAGGCCCCTACAGCTCTACGCCCCTTCCAGGGGACAAGACGGTGACCCAGGGCTCAGCTGTTGGTGCTGGCAGAAAGCCCTGGGCATCTCCTCCAGGCAGGTGGGACGGCAGTCGATAACTGCCCGGCACAGTCAGTCAGCCCCACACGGCAGCAGCAGAAACCCAAGGGAGGACTTCCCAAAAGCCACTCAGGCTTTGCCTCTGCTTGAGCCCAAGAGCTGCCGCACCCCTCAGATAAGGGGTAGGAATAACCCCTTTCCTGGGAAAGGCCAACGGCCACAAGCTCTCCTCACCTCCCAGCCCAGGCTGAGCTTCCCCATCAGGCACTGGATCCCTACCCAGCACCTCTGCCCGGTGCCCCTGCCGATCCCCCCGCTCAGCCCCCGGGAAGCCCGGGGCCGACCCACCTTGTGGCAGTAGTAGACGGCGGAGACGACCTGCCGGAAGAAGTGACGCGCCTCCTGCTCCGACAGCCGCTGCCGCTCGCTGATGTAGTCGTACAGGTCCCCCTTGCTGGCGTACTCCATGACGATGACGATCTTGCTGCTGTTCTCGAACACTGCGCAGAGACGGGAAGGCGCAGGGTGTTAGGAGGGATGCTCAGAGCTAAAGGGCTTCTCGTTAGCAGAGCGTTAATGAGCAGGTGGCCAGCCCTAGCACACTGCCCGCCTCATCGCCTGTGCCTCCGGTCTGTTTTGCAGCACAGAAGGTGCCGGGGTTTCTGCAGGTACCTGCTCAGTGGTGGGACAGGGGACGGCCAGAGCTGGCCAAGCAGCCAGCCGAGCCACAGAGCCCAGGAGACGGGGCTCTGCTCTGCCAGACGCTGACCAAGACACGTGGCTCTTCATTAGACAGAGCCCTGCCAAGGGGGAAGACGACGGAGCTACCGGCTGGCATGGCCGGGTGGCCTTTCTGCGTGTTCCCAGTGCTCCCAGCAAGGCTCAGGCTCGAGCCAAGACATCGAGCATTTTCTTCCTGTTTGCAGAAAGCTACCTCAATATTTTCTGAATTCCCACAGCCAGCGTGACTCAGTCCTAGCACACACCGCGGAGGAACGGCCGATCCGCTTGCTTTTGTTTGCAGGACAAAAGGGCTCTGGATACCTCACGTACGCCAGCGAGG